GTGATCCGGATTTGAGTTCTCCATCATGACACAAGAATTGGCATGTGTTCAAATGGTTTTCTCACCCCTTCCTCTCCAAACAGCCCTTCACCATTGAAAGGGTCGTAGCCCATTGCCGTCATCACCCAGTAATAATTTGACGACGCATCATCTCCACCTACCACTCTGATTCTCCATAACTATGGCCCGGTTTGGTAACCATTTTTTTCAAAATGCATTTTTCTCTCTCTTTTTTTTAATTACACATTCTTTATTAAAATAATATTACACGTAAATAAAAAAAATTTCCTTATTTTTCAACTACACATTTTTCATTAATTTACTATTCAAAAATGCATTTTTACATAAAAATGTCTCTCAAACACCCTCTATATATATATCAATACTACACATACAGGGAAACTTTCACAGAATTTCATTGGAAGTTAGCAAAAAAAATAAAAAAATATGCAAATCACATGTTGCCAACACAACACCTGTAAAGAGAAAAATCCCTTATGGTTTTTTCATATCTGCATGTATGTGCGCACAAATAATCTCCTTTTGTTTACTGAGTAATGAGTTAATTTTAACCACTTATTTTTCAAATTAAAGCTGAAAACAATAATTATTTGTTAAAAAATTAGTATTTTTATTGTGAATTAATTAATTGTCAAAATAAATTTTTAAAAAATTACAAAAAAAAAAAAAGAAAGAAAAAAAAAAGAAAAAGAACTAGAATATGGTATAGGTAAACTAAGGGAAGAAAAATATATTTTTACATATTTTACATAAAAAGAGTTCTAAATATATTATATGTAGATTACTGGGAAAACAATGGTTTATTATATACTATTTATGACAAATTTCATATTTGGTAACTTGACATGACCTTTTCAACCCACAAGAGACTCTTGTTCTATTATCTGCCACAAAGAACTATTATGAATAAGACTAAAGGTTACTAAGCCTTTGTTTGGATTTCCTTTTTAGTTTATAGTGTTGAGAATTTCCTTTTTAGTTTATAGTGTTGAGAGTTGAACAATTGATAATACTTGTGGATAATATAGAGTATGTGAATAATGTTAAATAAATTGGTGCATGTAGGGATAGAGAAGAAATTAGAAATCAATAATTAGGAATTGATTTAGAGTCCTTCTCTCTCCAAATTATGTCAAAATAATTTTCAAATTATTTTTGAGTTTCAATATTTAGTATTCGATATCTTTCATTCTACAAGAGATCAGTTAAGCATTGGTTCACTCAGCAAAATTGATATTGTGCTATATTAATTTGGAAAGAAACGTTGTATTTTGAGAGACAAGCACCCATTAGATCCTATTAAATCAGTGCAAGGGCGAAATTCGTCTTAAGCAAATTTGCATTCGCTGCTTCGTTTCATCTCTTTCTAATTTCAACAATTTAGTAAGTCCATATTTTGTACATGTATCTTGGTTTCAGTTAGTCAAAATTGTATCCTATATTCTGCACTTGTAAGTCGCAGTTTTATTGTTTTTCGTGCATGAATTTTTGGTTACGAAATTCAATTCATGCACCAAATTATCCAACAATCTTGAGATGAATTTGCTCATCCCTATAGTGTTTAAAAGCGTTGAGCAATCTTCTGAACGAATTTGTCTCATAGAAACAATACGGCAATCTGCAGGAATTCCAACGAATTCAATGAAGTGTTATATACTTTGAAGAACAGTATCAGGATAAGAGAGGGAAAATGAGATTCAATGCAGTGAATATTTGCAATGAGCATGGTGTAAATTTTTTGACAGTAGGTAGACTATTTATAGATATATTCGTGGCCATTAAAACACTCTTCAAATATTTTCAAAACAATCGTCACTATTCAGGCAGCCCTCCAAAAATTAACAAACAACTATGTTCGAACTAAAACACCACATTTGTTAAGTCTGTAAACAGACAGCCACACTAGAAAATATCCGAAAATAGGCCAATGAAAAATTAATTTTATTGAGTATCTAAGAAATTGATTAATTGTAATTTGGTCCAAAAAAATATAAATAAAAATTGGAATACTCTTGTTTTTTTTTAAATCGGAATAATAGTCCCACTGAAATTAGAGCTCAAAATTGACCCATTTTCACAACTTAAAACCATTTCCAACAAGTAAATTTAATATTTGACTATGAAAAATAATTTTTCAAGAAAACCTAAACAATGGCTAAATAAGAAGGTTCTTAACTTTTGTTTTGCATGATCTTCAATTTTTTTTATTATTATTATTTTTATTTTGGTTTTAAAGTAGTAAGCGACTCATGACATTCTATAAGACACCACCAAAAGTCCAAGAGTTGATTTAGAGGGGATTGGGCTAGGCTTCAGCCCCAGTTCCCTTCCAACCCATTTGAATTTTTTTTTTTTAATTACATATTAGCCCAACTTAAATATAGTTTTCATCTGATCTTGGATCTATTCAACACATAAAAGAGTATATTCTATTATTAACTAAACAAACTTTATGAATAAGATGATGGGTTGCTAGACAAGAGGTTTCCTAACTTATATTTTGCATAACCTTCATTTTTTGTTTAAAATAGTAATCTACTTTAATGCTAAGCTCTTATGTTGATTAAGATAGGTCCAAAATATGAGAAATCCTAGTTCTATTACTGACCAAAAATATTTTATGAATAAGACAATGAGTGGCTCAATAAGAGGAATCTTAACTTGTGTTTTGTATAATCTTAATTTTTAATTAGGTACTTTAATACTAATTCAAATAATATTGATTTTATATCTTTGATAAAACACAAAAATTAGGTTAACAAAACGGTAAAGGAACATGCATGCCTAAATTCAAAATACAAAAGGGAAAAAGAATACAACAAAATATTTAAACAGAAATTCAACATTTTTAAATTTCAATGATTGATGAGTTAGTGGGCAATGTACTTATAAAAAGTCTTGCAAAATATATTAATAAAAAATTATTATACAAATTGTAAACATTTAGGAACTTAGGTAAGAGTCCAAAATATAAATAAGGGAGTAAAAAAAACAAAAAAAAAACAAAAAACAAAAAAAAAACTAACTTTTGCAAATAATGTCCGATTTGGTTCACATATGACAAATCAATTAGAAATATGCTACTTGTACATAAAAAAAATATACATAAGGAATGACATAAAATGATATGGAGAGAAAGATTGGATAAAAAAGTTGACTGTGTTTTAAAATGACAAATGATCAAGTGACATGTAGTATTATATAACTCATTATATAAAACTTGATGTACGTGTATCAAGGTTTGTACAATTATAGTGCCTATCTATGAAAGGGCTATCTGGTAATTCAATTATATGATATAGGCAAGATAATATATTAGACTCTGTTTGATAGCATTAAATTCTATAGAAAATGTCACATTCAAAGAATTCGTTTTCTACTTTAACTGTTTGATACGAAAGTGAAAATGGAGTTCGAATTTCAAGGTACAAACATTTAAAGCATGTTTTTGTTTTTTCCTTTTCAACTTACATGGAATTGATTTGTCTTTTCAACCTTTTGCAATCAAATGAATCCTTATTGATTAAAAAAAGAAAAGGAAAAGGCAGAGGCGCTACTCGTACGTAAGGATAGCAGCGACAAGTGTCATCAATCAGCGACTCTTGCCTACCTCCTCCAAACCCACACACACAAGTGCCCTATTTTCTCTTTTTTAGTTCCATATACTTCATTCGAGTTGTGCTTGGTGTACAAAGTTTTTTGTATATAAGGGTGTTCATACACTCACATTATGTACACCAAATTTTATCCATTTCATTATGCCTCCCAAGGGTTAGAGACATTCTAGCGTTTAACTCTATAAGGCTTGGCCAACTCCAAAATCGGGTTGACCAGTCACATGTTATAAAATCTATAACGGTCTGCATTGGACGATTTTAATAAAGGTTGAACTCCAACTTTGAGGGCTTCCACCGCCCCACCCCTAGAGTTTTGTGAGGGAGATAAATCGGGAGATGTACCCGAACAGGTCAGGGAACAAGAGCTGTATATATACTGCGCCTACAAGGAATCTAATTTCATGTCTCAGGAATCGAACCCCCACACTACAACTGTCAGCAAGGCGTGAGATAACCTCACTCATGTTCTTTGCACTACTGGGCTATACTTCGGGGGAGGACGATTTTAATATTTGTAAGCAAGAATGACAGCTTAAAACTTATAGAATTTTTTCTTATTAATTATGTTTAAATCTTTTACAATCTCTGTACTTTTTAAAATCTTGTACAATTAATATACATTTTGTAATTACATTTCATCGGATGAAATAATTAAAGTTAAATAAGATTTACTAACTAATCATCGTGTTAAGTTTGAAGTTGCAAAACCATTGCCTGATTTGCATTTACATAGTTGTTGTAGGCATTGAGTTGAAGAATATAAAGAGTCAATGATAGAACAAAAGTTAAATCGTGATTCAAAATAATAATAATAATAATAATAATAATAATAATAATAATAATAATAATAATAATAATATTCTTCCTTTCTTAAAAATAAAGCTTGGAAGATGAGTAATTAATCTCTTGAATACGAAATTGATTGATAAAATTGTTATAATATTAGTCAAATTGAGAATTTGAATCTCAAATGTCAAATTTCAGCATCGTTTAAAATGTAAGCGATTTATTGCAAAGTATCCAAAAGTGCGACAAGTATTGATAGTCTATGAAGTTTGCGTAAGGCATTAAAACTCAAGACAACGCAGTACTCATTTCATGTTCAAAGTACGCAAACTAAAATTCTACAACTATATTACGTAATCGTAGTGGAAATTTAATAGGGGCTACGAATCAAAATCCTTTTTAATGTTTAACATTGTGCATAAATTTTGTAATGCTAAATTGGAACAGCACATTGGAAGGAAAAAGTTGTGTGCATTAACTTCAATTTAAACTATTCAACAAAATCATAAATACGGAATTGAATGTGTGTAGAATAATCAACTTTTATGGAACATCGTATTTTGATGGAAATCAACGGCAGATAAGTGAAAATGGACTAGGTCTTGATTTACACACAAGAACTGCTAAGTTGTTTAATTAAGCCGTCCAGCCGACGATTACGGAGGCTCAGTGGGACCCAACCTTTTCTCACACACACTGCCGCAAAACTCCTCTTTTTAGGCCTCAACATATCGTTGTCTCTCTTTAGAAAACACAGCACCGCTTAAAATTCTCCCTAGAATCCTTTCTCTTGGTCATGGCTTCCATGCGTGAGGGCCACTACAGAGGAGTGAGGAAGCGCCCATGGGGCCGGTACGCGGCGGAGATACGTGATCCGTGGAAGAAAACCAGGGTTTGGTTGGGCACTTTTGACACTCCTGAGGAGGCTGCAATAGCCTACGACGGCGCCGCCAGGTCACTCCGCGGTACCAAGGCGAAGACCAACTTTCCAGTTCCGCCGATAGGTCTTCCCTTGGATCTCAACCTTCCGTCTGATAATCGGTGGGTCTCTCCATCGGGCACTCTCGTGCTAAATGACTTTCTCCGGACTGGGGTCGTTAAAGATGCTAGTTTCAAGGCCGGTGACAATAGCTTATCTCCAGTGGACAATGGTGTTCATGTAGCTTCCTCATCCGGACCTCCGGTTGTGGAAGGCGACGTTCCGGCGAAATGTTTTGGAATTGTGAGACGTGGGTTGCCCATTGACTTGAACGAGCCTCCACCCTTGTGGATGTAGCTAGGTATATAGCATTTTTCCGGCGATGTTGATGTTTTCAAGAACAAACTCTTAACAGTTTTCTTAAACTTATGAAAAAAATTACTACGAGGAACTTGTATGTATATATATCTCATCTTCAAGCTTTATCGTTACTAATTATGAAGAATTTACTCCACTAGAGTCCTCCTTTTCTTGCTTAGTAGTTATCGATTTTAGTTTACTGTTTGAATATTCTCACTGGGTTATAAGACATTTATGTGGAATTAATTAAGTAATTTAACATTTCATTCATAGTTTGTTTGGGAGTAATTTTGAGAATTGACTTTTTGGTGGTTAGAAAAAAAATGAAATTCACTCGTGAGAGAAAAAGTCAAATATGACGATTGAAATAGTGAAATAACGATCACTCCCAAACAGACTCTTAGACCATTATCAATCCTCGACTAGACTTAGTTATAACCAGTGAGGCTGAGAGCATTATGATAACTTTTAGATGGCATCTGCAGTTTTTTGACCGAATTAATTATTTAATAGAGAATTTTTACAGTCGAAGCAAAAAAATATGTAGAAACATATTTACTACTGTGATAGCAAAAGGTGAGAAAGAGCAAGCGTGTGAAAGTGCAAGTGGAGACTCTTTCCATTCTCAGCTAAATACACTGTACAAGGATTTCCCGGATTGGATTTACTTTTGCAGCGTACAAATTTGTGTGAAAAAAGTAAGTATTTATTAGGGTTTCATTTGTTTGGACGATTAGATTATATTCACGTGCCCTTTCCGGTACCTCGATTTGACCCCTCATCTGTCACTTTTTTGTCATTCTTACGTGTGAGTTTACATTTTAGAGAGAAAAATTAAATTTCTATAATCAATAAAAATTGATGTTGATCTAGATATTTATTTATTTATTTATTTTGACCTTAATATGAAAGTTATTTTTTCAAATATGTGAAGTTCAGACAAACTTATGAATGTAAAAGTTTTTAATAAATATTATATATGTTTTTAACGATTTTAATTCAAAGGATTTTGAGGGATATAAATGATGTGTCGTTCAAAAATTGATTATCAGTCGTTTTTTAAAAAAGATTTCATTGTTGACTTCAATTCTCTTTAAATTGATAGTATGATAATTTTAAACTCGATGCATATTGAAACTCCAAATAATAAGCAGCTCCATCAAATCAAAGATACGTTTTTTTCAAAACGTATTTTTAATCATACATTTTCTAATAAAATAATATTACACGTAAACTCGTAATATTTTCTTACATTTTAATCACACATTCTTTTAAAATTTGCTGTTTTAAAATACATTTTTTTTTTCAAAATCTTATCAAGGGCTAAATATAGACCAAAAGTAAATTTAGAGACGTTAGTCCTTGTTTGATAACCAATATCGAAAATTTTATGAACCCAAAATTTTCTTGACTTTTTAACCACATATTCTACAAAAATTAACTATTTGAAACTCTATTTTTGGATTTTAAAGGGTAGCAAACATGGGATTAATTTGACATGAGTACTTTTTGCATGCTTTAATCAAACTTATTTTGAGACTTAAATCCATTTTGTTATTTATTGTGTCTGCATTCAATTTAATAAAATTATGTTCTTTAAGTATTATATTGCCGTTTAATCAAGTCGTTGTTTGGTAGAAATTAAAATTAGATTTTTAATAAATTTTGATAAAAATTGATAAAATATGTTGTTGAAAAATTGTGGTCCCATTGAATATGCAATTAAAATTGATTATTGACTTTGATTTAAATTAAAATTTAGATTTTTACTATGATAAAAACTTTAAAAAGTTGAAGCTTTTTAATAAATAAGAATAAGAAAAGAGTTCTAGAATTATGATTCATGTGTCGTTTGGTACACATTAATGTAAAAATGATAATGAAAAATATAGTCGTTACGAATTTCATACAAAAGAGATAAAGTCAAATATGATAACTTCATATGATAGATAACGGTCATATTTTTCATTTTAATGGAAAACAAATGGGGAGAACGGCGGCGGGAGGGGAGGGGGGGGCTAAATAGTAGAAATAATATTTATTTGGATATTCAATTCGCTTTTCATTTTCTAAAAATAATGTTATGCTCCTATCTGAACCACTTCGAAAAATCCACCACCATATCATGCGAGGTGTGGAACACTCATCCGAAGTGGTTCCGGAGTGACTTCACCAATGATGACGATCTGCTATCACACTACGAGGCGTATGCAATTCTGCGGGACTGACTGAAGCGCCCTCGCTCCTAAATCCGAGGCGAAATGCACTCAGGGGATCTCTGTCGGAGGATCCATCGCGAATTTCAGAATTTTAGAATGAGATCTTTGTCAAGATCTTTTTTGCCCCTAAGGTTTAAAGTGATTTGACGTCTCCATGAGATTAGTTGATGTGAGGTATCAACTTTATGTCAACTCAACTCGGGCGAAGTAATTACCCACCCACTCTATAGACGTGGCTGATTGACGCCTATGAGCAGACGCCTCATACCGTCAGATGTATACACGTGTCCCACTTTTTACGGTTCTCCTCATCTATAAATACCCAAGGCTTGATAAGATGCAAAGGTAATGAAACTCTTACTACTTAGCACTCCATATCAAACAAATATATATATATATATTTTCTTTCCTACTATTTTACACAATCTTGGTACTGTTCCGATCACCTAAGCCAAACTTAACCGTCGGAGTGTATACGACCGTCGCCACCCCGCTGGTTTCGACCGTGTGTATCTGACCGTACGTTGATTGTACACAGAAAGAAATACGTGGACTGACTATCAATTGGTCACATGAAGAGTCCAATTTTCGAGGTCGATAAATAATATTAATTATTATAATGTTGAAAACTTTAGATGGAAGAATTGAAGACGTCACGGTAGTGGGGTTAGGTTAGTGTGAGGGAATGAGCGACGCGTGGTTGATTTGCCGGCTTTTGAGTCGCTTTCTCCTATTCTCTGTCTCCTCGGAATCTGTCGCCATTTTAATATTCTTACTTTGACAAATCAATGCTACTATAAAGCCAAACGAGGATTAAGTGGGTTTTAGATTAATTAAAGGGATTTGGATTACCCAAAGTGAAAGAGGTAAGATTATTGCATAGAGCAGTATCCAAGAAATTAATATATCAAAAACCCTTTTGAGTTTTGACTTATTTTGATGTGAATATGTGACTATCAAAACAATTAATATTATGACCTAATTTTGCAAGTAAAGAGTAGTTTGAAATTTATTTTTTCAAAAATAAAAAAAATTGTATTATTAATAGATCGTTTAATCATTGAAGAAGACTCACGATAAATTGATTTAAGAATTAAATGATATATAAATGTTACGACAAAGATTTTCAGGAAATAGGAGCGGCCATGACATGATTAAGTAGTCAAACATTTGCTCTTTCAGCTTTATTTCAACTTTTTAAAGAGAAGGATATCAGTAATCATTATGTGTTGAATTGGTCATAAAATTCTTAATATCCCAACAAAGCTAGCAACACTGGACCTTTTCATAAAATTAGACATCTTTTGAAAGATTTATAATTTTCTTTTTCATTTGTTGAAATTCGAAAAAACTCGAGTATTCGTATAGCACATATGTTTGATAAAACAGCTGACGAGAAAGAGGCTCAAGAGCCTAAAAATAAAAGGTACCACAATTACCAAAAAAATGAAGTTCGAGAATAAAATTGCAAGACGGAATAAATGTCGAGGACAGTAACAGCATTTCTTTAAATTATTTAAAGATTCCAGGCATGTGGAATAAAAAATTATAAGATGTTTATTTTGTTGATTTCCCCCTCAGAATATAAACGAGAAGTGAAGGGAATCAAGTGGACCACTTCGCTCTTTAAAATAGAAGCAAAGGATAATGGAAATGGAATTGTTCTTGCAAACCCTTTACAGTGACATGTGAGAAGATGATAAGAAAGGACCACGAAAGATTATTAAGACACGCAACTCCCCACTTCTCAAAAAAAAGAAAGGAAAACTCTGTATCTTTTCTATATAAATACCTAATGAAACGTCAGCAGTACCCGTAAATAGGTGCATCAGCCAGAGAAAGTCAGGTACCCACTCCCACCCACTTCATGTTTCCCCAGGCCGGCCGTCATTTCTTTTTTTAATAGATTATTATGCATGACAGGCGGCATAGTTGAGAGTGACACTCTAACAATTAAAATTTTTAAATGAACTTATCCAATATTAATTATTTACAGAAATTGTGGGTCGTTTTATCCATCGCTTTCTTCAAATGAAATAAAAGATTATAAGATCTCGACAACAAATTCGCCTAAATTTGAAAAGAAATTAAATTGAAAGATTAAATATTTCGACATTCAATACGATTTGTATACAAGACATACAAAATTACAAGACTTGACGGCAACAATTTGACAAAACTTGAAATAGGTTTTCAGAATGAATAATTCCATCAACGACCAATCCGATGACATCGTATCCCGATGTATATGACCTTCCAACTAACCTCTTAACATATTTCTAATATAATTGTAATAATAATAATAATATAATAAATTAAAAATACTAACCGATTTTTTCTGCGTACAATTATTTTTACATCATAAGAAAAGCTGCTTTTCTAAAAAGCACGATAATTGCCTTGCCGCAAAAGTTGAAAAAGTTAGCAAAAAGATTAAAGGGATCAAAGTGGAAGATTTTAAAAGAGGCACGAATTTTCCGAAAAGCGATATTTATGTGTTGGAAACGGGCGAGACCTTACTGTGATCTTATATTTCAAAAAATGATTTTGCTATTTGTACATGGTCGCTTACATTTTAGTTGATACGGATCCATCACTCCTCTCACATGGGGAGGTCGGCTCCACATATTTGTGTGTGGGACCTGACCTCTCCCTTGTGAGAGGTCAGGTAGGACGGTATGAACCAAAGTGTAAACCACCATGTGCAAATAGATTAATACTTAAAAAAACTGTGTTACTGTTCATACGTTGTGTCTTGTCGTGGAGGCTCCGTCACTGTTATTTCTGACGGCTACACGTCTTATCAAAATTGGTGGTTGTCTGATAGGGGCTCAGCATTAGCCAATTAGCTTCCTCGCTCTTCTCAATCATTGTTTCTATTTTAACGGCGCCGTCAAATTTTTGTTTGATGTCCTCATTAATTTCAAATTATATTTCTTTCCTCCTTTCAATTACAAAAGTTACAATAAAATAACATTGCATGTAATTTTATTATTTCAAAAGGTAATCTTAGCCAAAAATGGGTTCAAACAAACTACTAATTACAGTCAAAGTTTGTAAGGCTTAGAATCGAATGGTTTGAGAATTTTGTTTAAGCTCAACATCTTGAAGTCTGGCTAAATCTCTGAGACCGATTCCTCCTGAGATGCAAAGCACAGAAAAGGAAGTTTGTTTCCTTTCATTATAATTAAGGAACGTAAAAAGGGCCAACAAAAGCATCATTTTATCCAACATTCACATGTAGTATAAACAAAGTCTCGACCTTCACTTAACAAATTAAAAATACATTATGTTACGTTTACTTTTAGGGTTGGATAAAATTCTTTTGAACTTGCTATTTTTCTCTTTCTATGATTTTAACAATCAAATTTATGAAGAACTTAGCAAAGAGAAATGCAAAAGACACATAAGATTAAACTACGTTATTTTTTAAGAGTTAAGATTGAATCATTAGTTGAATTAATGTCACTTTGTAAAAAATTTAGATTTGAACTTGACGGTTCCACTTGCTAAATACCTAAAATATTTTGGGTCCGCTTCGATTCTCGTTAGAACTGAACCTCGAACCGGACCATGTTCAGCCGTAGTTACTTTTCTCATGAAAGAAAAATAAATTACCCATATAAATACATTATGACATAGTTATTGAGTCCATTTTATTGTTTCAATTATGCTAGATGTACATTTTTTTTTTATCATAATTGTGAAGTCGTGTTACGTGGTGATGGGTGATTGGACAACTTTAAAAAAAATAAACTTTCTTGCCCAACACTTTTTGAACACCAATGGAGTAAACAAAGATATCAACATTGGACTGTACATTTAACATTAATTTTTTGTTATTTAGTCCTTGTTTGAGTTCTACTCTCTAATTTATTTATTTTTTAAATTCATTTTTAATTATATTATTTCAATAAAATAATTTTACGCTTAAATTCAATTTTATTATTATTTTTTTATATTTCAAACTACATATTCTCCAAAAAAAAAAAAAAAAAAATTACCCCAACCCAAAAAAAGGGCTCAAACAAGCCTTTCCTAGCAATTTTCCTTGATTTGGACAGGGACCCACCAAAAATGGCAGCCGCGTTTTCACTTGCGACGCCCGCGTCTAAGTGGGGTCCATCTACGGTCTCTTAACTTACTTTTCGGCAACCGGTTTATAAAAATTAAAATGAGGGCGGCCGTGGGACACGTGATTGCTGATGGATTAATTAGGACTATATCAGTCAACACGTAGCTTGTCCCTTGCTTCCCCTCATACAAAATTGAAGAATAGAATTCTCAAATTATTCGGTGTTGCACTGTTGGTCTCCAATCTATTATTCTACTTTGTAAGTTAGTCCTCAGATTTTAAACAATTGCTTCAACCTTTAGTTATACGCTTACAAAGGGTCTTCAGGGAAAAAATTCACTTAGACTTGTTAAATAATCGCGTATCCATTGTTAAACAAAATCTGAGCTATTGTTTAAGGGCCCGTTTGGTAGAGATTTTGAGAATTGATTTTTTGACCGTTAGAAGAAAAATGGGGTCCACATGTGAGAGAAGAAGTCAAAAATTACGGCTTGAATAGTAAAATAACAGTCAAAAAATCCCTACCAAACGGGGCCTTAATTAAAATTTTTTTTTGCGAAAGTAAGCGATATTAAATAAATTTTTGGATTTGTTCAATAATTGAGATACAAATGTCAAGAAAAATGAAAGAAAGAATGACTCAATCCCTTTTAAAGATTAACTAATTCACTTGTTAAGAAAGCAGTATGAATACGTTAAAAACTAATAGTGAAATCTTCTCATCCTAATTCCCCACGGCATGTATACATTAAAGACTAATAGTGCAATAATCCCATTCTAATTTCCACGACATGTTTGTACAAATGTTAATTGTACACAAAGCATGTTGAATTAAAGTTGTAACGATATGGATGCATAGTTCGGCTTACAATAAGTTTAATTGAAAATTATTTTCATTTCGAATGTCAAGGTTCTTTCGAAAAAAGACATGGAGTTCAAATTAAAAACATACGACTGAAGTAACTATGTTTAAATAAGCATAAACAATTGATTAACAAATCAAAAATATGTTTAGCACTTACTCTATATGATTCTGATCCGCAAAATCTCAAAAGCAATGACAACTCTGTGATCAAAACCCCACCAATTAGCTGACTTACCTAGGGGTGGACAAAATTATTATACCAAATCAAAATTAATCAAGTTCGAGCGGTTCAATTCGATTCTATTAAAAAAATATATTGATTCTGGTCCTTGATTTTGATTCTATAACCAAGATCCAGAATCAACAACTGAACTCAAATCAGCAAGTCATTTCAAAAAAATCCAACTTAAAGAATTACAAATGTAAACTAGACAAAAATATCATTTATCATTACATTTTGCCTTATGACCTATCAGACAAAACAGTAAGCCCTAAATCTAAATTCTAATTCATTTGTATCATTTTCAATCTTATAAACACCTTGCACAACTATACCATAGCAACCATTACATTTACCGAATGTTTGATTTTTATTCTTTTAGTTGGGTAGTTATTACTAACTCAATATGAGTATTTGAAAATTTAAGTAATGAAATCATAACCAAATCAAATTAAACCAGAACTAGTTCGATTATCAAAAAATTTATTGGTTCATAGTTCGATTCAATTATCTTATAATCAGAATCAAATGAAATCATGTCTAACGAACCATGACCCCTGTTTATAATGAGTGGCTACAATTTGGCTCCACACATAATTATTCATGTTTAAATACCATAATATGTGTTGATTCCGTCTTAATTAAATATGACAACCACCTTGACTTAATAGTAACTTTCCAAACATTTTATGTTAGAAAATCCAAAGCTACTTTAGGGCATTTTTTCAATCTAATAATTGCATTTTTTTAACAAGTATTTATGTGTAAATTGTATCTACTTTTAATTACTTACCTTTGACTAAACACTATAGAGGGTTTGCAATCTTTTACACAAGCTGCAATCAAGTTCCCAACCTATCAATTGGTGAAATTGGCTCCTCCTGTCCTTGAATAAAAAAAAATTGTTGTTGGACAAAATCGACGAAATTTTCCTCTCTCAAGATATAAATATTTGTTTCGGTCTGCTTTATTTCAAAATATCAATTGGTATGTCGGCAAAATAATTTAATTGGGAACCAAACTGCTCATTCATGTAGGTTGGGGACTCAATTGCACCTCGCATGAAAGTTCGATGACTCCATCTGCTATTTACAGTTCACTTTCTGCTCGTGCTATTTGTTCAGCTATTATATTATTATTAATTTGATGAAGACCTAATCATGTAGTCAATTTGTATTATAACAAAATTCTGGGACCAAAACGAATGCATTGCACCACGTGGCGCCCAAACCATTATCATTGATAAAATTCTGATCAAGAAACAAACATTACGTCCGCACATACGTGGACCACACGCTCCGGTACCATATCGATAAACCTCCCTTCTCACCGCTTTCCGTCGGTTTAAACGAAAGATATGAATTATATAATAAAAATTTAACAAAATTGTAAAATTGAGGAGAAATTTAGAGAAACAGATTAAAGTGAGTAATAAAATAGCATGTATTCTATGTAAGCTAAGAAAATACAGAATTACACGATCTGAAACAGGAGAAGCCACCAGTTAAAGAACAACAAGCAGAAAACCTATTGATTTTTCTTAGCTGCTGCAAACAAAAATATATTTAATTTCACTAGAAGCATCAATCTTCTAGTCATCTACTCGTTTTGTGTCTTTTTTTGTCCATAATTTTTCAGCAAAAACAAACATAAAACGGAAAAAGGTACGTAAGTAAACAAAAAGAGAATCAGTTCCGGGACCGTAGTTAGTTATTCTCAGGTGGCGGTGGGAGGTTGAGATCCAGACGAAGACCATTGTTGGGTTTCAAGTCGACAAGAGCAGCTGAGTCGGATTCACTCTCGGATCCAGCGGCGTTGCCGCTCTTAAGGAAATCCAGAGTCACAAGCCTGTGATCATTGATGCGGTTGACGATTTCTTGCTTTGACAAGGCATCAAGATAGAGCATCTGGGATTGCACAGGCAAATTTCTGACGAACCTTCCGGCGAGTTGTCCGGGAATTGGTGTAGGGCGAAAATAATGGTGGTTCTGGAATGGAAACCTTTTGGATCCACCCAAAGTGAGGTCGACAGGAGAGGAGTTAATCACCGTCAGCGAGTTATCATTGCCGGCTGATTCGACGGTGCTGCTCTGGCTAGGACTCCGGCTCTGGATATTTTTCTTGCTAACAAAAAGATCGTTGCTTTTCTTGAGATTCTCAGCATTCGTGTTCAGATCCAGAGAGGGAAAATTGGTCTTTGCCTTGGCGCCACGGAATCGCCTAGCGGCGGTGTCGTAGGCTCTGGCAGCCTCCTCCGCCGTGTCAAAGGTACCCAGCCACACGCGACTCTTTTTCCCAGGATCCCTTATCTCCGCCGCATATCTTCCCCACGGTCTTTTCCTCACCCCACGAAAATGCACCTCTTTTATCCCACCACCCACTTTCTCTGCCGCAACCGCTTTCTCCCTCGGCGCCATCACTCGTCACCTTCTCTTCTTTTATGTATATATAGACACACACATAACGGTTTCACCGAATGAATATATACATGATCAATTATCTGTTGTCGAAGGATTACAAAATAGTGTATGGGATAGGGAAAATATAGGGGGGCGAATAATGAGTGATTATATAGAGGTGAAGATGGTGGTACAGTCTGTCAAGGTTGGTTGGCCTTGACTGATGAATGGGGAAGTGGGACCCAACAGGTTACGTGGCAAATGTGCTCTGTACAACGTACACAACACTTTCTTTCGACTCGTATTGTCGTGCTATGTATATAAAGAGGAAAATGCCCTGCGTATTCTATGCTTGCTGGTAAATACTGTGGTGGATTTTTTCTTTTGTTTCATTTTTCGTGGCAATTGGTTGTTAACTTTGGTAAAATACGGTATAAGTCAACTACACGGGTGCTTTGTGTGCGCGTGTGAGGTGGCACATTTCCAATTGCTTCCTGCTTCTGGTGCACGCTTTTGCAACAAACAAAATTGTGACACATATCGCCCTTGTTTGACCCTCATTCTTTGGAAAAAAAAAATTAATTCTTTTACAGTATTTTGATATCATTTCAACCATACATTTTTAATAAAATAATATTACACACAAATCCAAAATTTTTCATTATTTTTTGATCATACATTTTCCACCAATACACTATTTAAAAATTCATTTTCCCCCTTAAAATGGGGCTCAAACAAGGGCATCATTGAATAATCTAACCAGAGCTGGCATTCCGTCCCAAGGTGATGGTAAACAATTTCACCAAACGGATTTTTCTATTCATGCATTGGGATTGACAAACCCCGTCATAAGAGAGGGGTCCACGATGAATAAAAAAATCGTAGACCCCCCTTGTGATGGGGTCTATACACATCGAAATGTACATATAGCAAGTCTTTTAGCTACATTTAACAGTTTTGTTAATACCTTGTGATGTGGCAAGGAATTTGGCACTTTATTTGAAAGGTTTTGTTATTCGAACGGCGCCAAATGATAGGTTCCTAACACTTATTCTAATAAATGGTCAAATTTTTTACACATCATGCGGGTTGACAAGCTACATTTCTTATAATAACATAGCATCGACATGTATAAATAACATAATTGTATGATAAAACCAGCAGGATTTTTTAGACAACAATATCTAATCTTGCGCGACAAATAAAAGTCCTTCATGCTCTCAATAATTAATAATTATACGCGCTCTGAATTTTCTTGTCTACAACTACGTGTGGACCCCATTTGTACATTTTGATTTGGGTAATCATTGGGGCGGATTAATCAAAACCTAAAACAGTATAATTTTAGCCCCTGATTTTCAATTTGTAAGACTGTCGATTGCTCCTCTTGAACTGAATCATTAATTAGAATCTAAACCAAATGACAAGTTTGTATCTAATTGTCACTTAAATAAACGGACTTCGAGTTTAGGATTATTAATGTCTAATGAATATACGTCAAATTTAAAGTTAATATTCAATAACTTTTGTCTCTCTCTTAATATTTCGGCTTACGTATCTATTATCTACATTAAAATAAAAATAATTATAATAAAAAGAGTCATTATCATGTTGCATTGAACATGTTTATTTTTTAAACACTGCTTATTTTTGCTTATTTGACATTTTTAAGCAAATCACGGTTTAAAGATGTTTTATATAGAGAGAAATTATCGACTAAGCACTAATGCGACATAACACATCAATCCGTTCGTGGATTAGTTTATGTTGAATTCACGATTCGAATTAAATTTGTCTTTCATTATTGAACTGATGTATTCTATCGCTAGTACTTAAACATAAATTAAGTACAAATTCTCAATAGGTATTAGTTAGCCCGAACTTGTGTATGACTTATAATTTGTGAATAATTGACTTACGAACTTATAACTTATTAATAAGGGAAAAGCTACGGAAAGGACGCAGTGAAATGATTTAGTATTTTGTATTTTTTTTTCCATGAATTATGACAAATTAAGTTAACATATTAAGCTCATGTTTTGATCAGCTAAAATTTTAATTACATTTTAAGAACTCACATCTTTTCACCAATACATTTCATTAAATTTAATAAAAAAAAATATTTTTATCTAAACTAAACATAGGTGCAGTATATTATATCAATAATCGATAATTATATTTATATGTGAAAAACAAAAAGGTTATTTTTGTGTCCGAAGATTGGGTGGTCGGTGCTAGCATCGCGTGGGGATGTGGTCGGAACTGTGCCCACAAGATTTGATAGGAAGAAATGACAAATTGATGAGACATTTTTGAAGTATGAATACATTAAACTTCAGCTAATAATTCAAACTAGCGTTTTTCAATGGTATCGTGGAAATGACAGCATGATATTTTACGAACGTTCTATAATCACCAAAAATATGTTGATAGTCGACATTATAATCTTAAATCTTCACTATTTTAAACTAAAGTATAGAAACATTTAAACATTTTTCATTGGTTTCGATATGAAACAAATTTAAAAGTTTATTTCTAAAGTGGAGTCGATAATGTAGTGAATGCCTTGTAAATTTTAAATTAGTCGTATTTATCAAATTTGTCTTTATGAAGCATCGACTTGCAAGCATATTATAGAGAGAATGACACGTATATTGTATATAAAATATATATTTTAACACTTCTTGTTATATGCTTTATCAATGAAAATAGTTTTAAATATGCGTAAATTGCATCAAAAATGTTAAAAATTTAATTGCCATTCACATCAATTACTGCCAATAGCATTATTCCATGAAATGTTACCATACAAAAACGAATAACTTTAAGCTTACGGGTTTTTCGGGAAGTTTGTTATTTAACTCGTGGAACAATTAGTATGCTATTAAATTAAGTGCTTTTTTTGAATTTATTAAAAAAAATTTTAAAAACTTGAGGTCAAAATAAGTAATTAGTTCTCACTATACATCTCATAGAGTTTATAATTTTAATCAATTTTTCTACCAAATATTTCATCAACTTATATCAAAATCTTCTTAAATTTATATGAAATCCTTTTATCAAACAACTCCTAAATGTCGAGAATATCATTAAGCTTTTATTTTTTATTTTTGGTTTAAACTTATGAATACGAAATGTGTGATTAAAAATCAATATTTAACTTAGAAAAATAAAATAAAACCCGAACAGAGCTAAGTGTGAAATGGGTGGCGGCTATTGACATTTAATTAACAATTTAGTCAAAATTCTTAAATCCGTATAAATTATGTCGATTTGCTGTGGATTTTTCTTTCCTCCCATTATCAAACAGTAAAACAGCGACAGCGCAATGCAAATGTGTTCACACCATAACGAAGAATTAAATGATTTCCGGCTGCTAAGGTAACCAGAAAAATAAAAGAAACAGGGAAAATGAGTTCACACGCTTCACGGTTCACATGCACATGAAGATTAACGTGTGCAGAGTAACAACCATGTGTACCGACCACCGGGGTAATTTTCAGGGTGAGTTGTTACATTTAAATCTATACTATGTTGTAAGGGAGGGTTTGAAACTTTCCTTTACAGACCCCCGGGGGAGGCAGGTATGGGATTTTTTTATTTTTATTTTTTTTCTTTAACATGGGTTTCACTCCCCTGTGAGTATAGTTCAATGAGGGTGGCAATTTTTTCCTGACAAAAAAGTTTAATTCTATTACATTTCTCTTAGTGCATGATTCGTATGCGAGAAAAATCGAGATAGTACACTATACATGAGCTATTGTTTAGTTATCTTAATGTTTTATTCAAGAGTTATATGTTATAGACCTCACTAAGCTCATATTTGATAGAAATTAAAATCAAAATTTTTATTAAAGTTACGGTCAACCATTAATTTTAATCATGTATTTCATGGCATTTACAATTTTTCAATTATATATATCATCAACTTCTATTAAAATATTCTAAAAAATAAATTTTAATCTCTACTAAACAGGGGGCTAAATATTAGATTGAATGGAACGATGATTCATCTTATCAAACAAATTGGTTTAGACAAAATGTCTATTTCAAACTTATTATTCATTACTGTTTCTTCTTGGTGGAAGTTCTTTGTTTAGCTACTATCAATTTAAATGTCTAGCTAAAAGGGCATGGGAAACTATTCCTCATAGTGCACAGCAGAAGCTGCTTCTTTATGTGCAATTTGAATTTGAAGATGTATGTTCGGAAAACACTATTAGTAACTTAAAAAAACTACTTTTAATATTCAGTCAAAGTTAAACTTCAATTCTAATCACATTCAAAACTAACACTTTTCATTATCCGCTCATTTCGTGATTTTCTCATCAATATTCATCCTAAAAAGTTACTAATTATATTTTTCCCTGACAGATGCTATGTTAAGAGACTATCCATGAATCAATTGATAGGACTTCCAACTTAAAGACTTTTGGTCGTTATTGATCTCTCTCCACAACTAGTAATTAAGCTCGTCTTAACAAAAAATTGGGAAAGACCTTCAAGTCACAAGCAAGCTGCCTATAAAAACAAGAATGGCCATCCATAAAGAATTAATAGAAATTCTAGCTTCTAATTAACAGTGTACTATGTGTTGAAATATTGTTCCAACGACAATGATGAGTGATTTTGAAAGTGATGGAAGTGATTGACAATGAGAAAAATAAACAAGAACAAAAAATGGTGAAAGCCCAAAAATGGCTTGGTCGGCCGCCTAGACTAAAGGCCGGGTGCCCGCCCGGCTTTGTGTTGCAATTACAGTAACCACTTTGTTGAACTAGGCAGCCTCTTAGTGGCGATTTAAATTTTGGTGTTGTTTTAAAGTGTTTCACACTCTTTTGACTTGGTTTTTGCACCATTTTGTGCACGATAATCGGAATTTTATAAATATAAGTGGTTTTCATATTGAAAAACATATCACAAATATCAAATATATTCATCAATATCCAAAATCAAAGATCAAACCAATTTTTTAGAATTTTTTCTTTAATTCATTTTTTCAAGTTTTGATTGCTTGATTCATATTTGGATTAAGGTTTGTTTACTCCTGGAAACTATTTACCATTAAAGCCTTCAAGCATTTGCCCCGTGGCGACAAATATGTTTTGAGGACAGCGATTAATAATTGTGTTCAAACCTTCCATAATGGCGATTTCTTGTTATTGGTTTTATTTTCGTTTTTCATCAACTTTTGTCAACATTGTATTGATGGTGTAATGTGTTGTGCATTTTGATATTAAAATTCATTTATCATATTTTCTTTTAATAGGTTTTTAGGTTTTGGGAGTTATGAAAGTAAAGATGTTGGAGGTTTGGAAAATGAAAGGTGAAAGAATTTATGTATTTATGACACCTCTTTATTTTGGGTGTCTATTTTTACCGATGAATATGACCATTCCTTGGTCATTCATCACCATCACAACAATCATGATTTTTTTTTAGCTTTTTTCCTTATATTTTCACTCATTTTCCTTGATAGATTATTGAGCAAAGAAGAGTGTTTCTTTTAGTAGAGCTTTGAGCTCAACTATTTGTGTAGAGTTTGTTTGAGTCATACAACGAATAGTCGAGCTATTGTATCCCGAAGGGGATAAGTCATAAAGAAGTCCTGCTGCACTGTGTTTTAGGTTTTGCCAATCACAAAAGGCTTGAATCTCCTTAAAGAAAGCGTCTAATTTCATTATCTTCCAATTCATTTTGTATCTTCATTTTTTTATTATTAAAATTTCACCGACATAATGTGGAGGGTAAATTTGTGAAGTACTTAAGAGTAATGACAGGACCGTTGGGTAGAAATTGATTTATTCAACTTTTTCTCTCCAACAAATCAAATTGAATATTACCTAATAAGTAAAACACAAGACAATCTTCCACCAGCTTTTCTTGTTGCTGCTCTTTTCTGGGTTTGGGTAACTTATAGTGGATTCATAATATTGGAACATTTAGGAGTGAAATTTCAGGTTTTCACTCATCTACTGTTGTGAACTAGTAACCAGGACTTTTTTTTTTTTTTTTTATTCCCATCCTCAAGAATCATTGCATCATTTTTTTTTATGACTCAAGTATCTAAGTTTTACTCGACTAATCGGGAGGAGTGGCGGCCTTCCCCCTGTTCGCCACCTGGGCAATTCTTTGAACAGGATTCTTTCTGCTTATACAATGAATACTATGTGAAATGCTAAACTCATGCTTTTGATGGGTGGTATCGTTGTTTTGTGCACTCTTCGATTCACCTGAATAATCATTGCTCGTGTACCTAATTAACACAACCTGAGTAACTGCTTGTTTATTCATGGACATTTAAATCCACTGTGAATTCCATCAGTAATGGGCAGCTCAGTTTCGATGCATTGGACTTGATTAAGCCAGATAACACTGTAATTCTCCGGACATATTCAATGGGTCTCTGAGTCTAGCTGTCGATAAATGGGGCCAAATTTAGGTAGCCGAACTGTATTAATTCTCCGTGATCGAGTATGAGCTGGTAAATGTTGTTGAAGAATCTTGGAAGTGCTAACTCTGTTTATTTTGATCCCATTAGAGTATTTGTTACTCTGTGGAGGTTGAATCAACTCATTTTCTCCTGTGAAGGTAATTATGTCATAGTACTAATCTGAATACAAATATAAAATCACTATAATGGAAATACAGAGTTCATTGGAGTATAATTCTCTCAATCAAGACACATTTTATTTCCTCTTCCCTCATTTTATGTTCCACAAATCAATTGCTCGACTGAAAGGAATTTCAAACAGACAAATCAGTTTAAAAAGAAGTCACCATAGAAAATTTTTATTTCTTGTATATATCAGAAAGATATCTATTATAAACTGACTCTGGGACCTTAATGCCTTGTGCTGCTTCTACTTCTGCCCATCTTCCCTATTACGTTATGAAGCAGGGGAACACAAAGTCCTTGGGGATTGTCTTGGCCCTGGAATTCATCTCGGTCGGACCTCGTAATGGATAAGTTCCCATATTGTTGGCTGAGGATTGTCGTATTTGGGTAGTACGAGTTTCCTAAATTCCTTGGTTGAATTCCAATCAGCCGGCCTAGGGACATACTCCGGTCTGGGAAGAACGATGCTGTTGACTAGAATAGCACAACACCGGCAACATGTTTAGCTTATAGAATGCTGTCTTAACATGAAAGTGTTGCATTTTAAAGAACAAGAAAACGATCGAATTAGACATTACCTCAGTATCAAGATTGGAAGATGAGAATGAAGAGAAACTGGATGAGCGTATTGGACGAGAGGTCCCAACCACTCTAAATCTCATGTTCATGTTTCCTAGACCAAGTGGCCATCCACTAGGGATCTCGTTTCCCTGAGGCAATCAGGATTAACTTAGAATGGTCCCTTATACCAAACATGTCATTTGTCAGCACATTGCTAAATTCTTATATCAAAACCCATTTTTCTTTACTCAAGTTAAAGTCGATAGCATAAGCTTGTCCAGGCAATTATTTGACCACAAATATGTTCTTCGAAAGATTCGTTACTTCAGTACTTTGGTGCGTTACTTCGTCTAGATAAATCTTATGACGCAAAAAAAAAAAAGATTTATTTTAGAAACTGTTTGATATAATAAATTCAAACAAATAAGGCAAGAAAATAACTATAAACTAGAAAAAGGTACAAGAAAACTTTTAGAAAAAAGGAAGAAAAAATTCAGGTTTTCAGTTGGATGATCCATTATTCGCTTTGTTAAATCATCTCCTTCTATTCAAGAGTTACCACAGACAAAGACAAGAACACGTTCTTCAAAGTGAATCTGGGAAAAGAATCACTGAAATTGAGGACAAATAAAGTAATACATACCTCCATGACCATGGTGTTGCAAGAGATATTGATTTCTGGGGGTGAAGATGATCACAGGATCATCCTAGAAAAACAAAAAATGGTAAGAAGTCTCTTAAGCAAGTGGAACAATGAAAAGTCTCTTGGAATCACCCTATATTGACATCATGTGTACCTTGTGGTCCGTGCTAATTTTCTTAAACTCAGAGCGGTGTATAATGTTAGTTAAACGCCAATGAATTTGATGTTTTATATAATCCAAAAATACTATGTGGATTATACGGTAATTTAGTGGTTAGGTGTTGAGTCTATTCAATAAGAAATTACTTGCAATCAAGGGCATTAATCTTGAAAGGATGTAGTTAGACCTGATTAAATATTAGTATTGTTATTATTATTATTTTGACTCATAAAAGTCAATTTTAAATCGTAAGTTACTCATGTAATTGCATTTAAAATAAGTAGAAATTTAAGTAGGTTGTGCTAGTTCATGGATCTTATTATTGAAGATGTCATTGTTCATCACCTACCGTATTTAATTGCTGTATCTGCATTGTTGGAATCGTACAATCATCTTCTCTATGTTTTTTAATTGCTTTTCTCCCAAACCATGCATGTAAAGTAATCAATCATCTAATATTCGTATTCGTAATGAATTTGGGAGAATGTGAAACTGTGTCTACATTTTCTCTCTCTATATAATAAGTGTGTCCTTGAGCCATATTATTTTGAAAGTATGTATTTTATAATAGCAGATTGATGGAGAACGTGTGGTTAAAAAATGGAGAAAAATTTTGAAATGCATGTAATATTATTTTATTAAATAATGTGTTATTAAAAAGATGTCAAATCACTGTTTAAAATATTTTTTTTTTTTTAAAGAATGCGACTCAAACATATATTGGACATGACTATACATATAATCAATAAGAATATTGAGTGATACATGACTATAGATATAATCTATAAGAATATTAAGTGATATAAAACGACCCCTTGCCAATCAGACACTGATGACATATTTAGTACTTTTAGAAGATACTACATTATACATTCCAAGTTTATAAATAAAGAAAAAAAAAATCCTAAAATCTTGTCTTTTTACACAAATTGTAAGATTTTAAATGAAATCACATTGTCCCCCGAGGCATAACTCAGTGATGCAAAGGACAGGAGTGAGGTAGTTTCAGCCTTACTGGTAGCCGCAATATGAGGATTTGATTTCTGAGATATGAAATTGGACTCTTTGTGGGTACAGTGTACAGACAAACTTTTGTTTCCTGACCTGCTGAGACACATCCGTGATTTACCTCCCTCACGATGCTCCTTTTTTTTTTTTTTCAAAATTCCGAGAGTACAGATTTTAAGTGTACAGATCTCAGAAAATGCATGGGCCCCACATGAATATTTTATTGACAAAAAATTTAATGTGAGTATTCTGTACAATATCTGTACACTTAAATGTCTGTACGTGTAGAATAACTCTTTTTTTATGGTGTCTTGTTTATTTAATGTATGAAATATATATTCATAAAAATTTTAAAAATCTAAAATCTTGTACAACTCTTATCGTCTGGTCGTCTTATGCAACATTCGGATTAAAAAAAAAAAAAAAAAATTAATAAAAAGTGGTTCAATTCATCAATCAAAATTAGATGAGTTATAGGTGAGATTGCTTCCAAAGTCGAAGTTTGGTACGTGAGTTCAATCAATTATTTTCTTTATCACAGTTAGGCTAAAAAGGAAAATAGTCATATTTATAACAATTCGACATGATGTTTTAAGATTTTGCAGTAACGTCTAAACTACTATACTAATATGAGTAGCTCGCAAAAATGGCGGATAAAAATTCCTTCTAGGTTTATTTTTTTAAAACTTTTTAATTTTAATTTAATTTAATTTATTATTTATTATTTATTATTTTTTTTGGCAATTTTAATAAGAAAGTGCAAACCAAAACTCATAAGCAATTCATTGTTTGGCTATCATTTATAAATGATCAAATCATTTTTTATTGTTCATGAACAACTTTCAAACATGAGTTAGAAGGAATGTAGATTAATTCAACAAATAAAAAGGTTTCTTTTCTCTATATTTATTTATAGCTAGCACTCATTTCGATCTTTGGTAGGTCTATGTATTCGATGATTATTATAGAATGATTGGAAGAAGGGTACATTTATATTGCCACTAGGATGTAGATGAACTAGGTCGAGCCAGCTCAGAACCCAAAGACAGCATGCCCGAGCATGAAAAGCTCAATTGAAAAATCGATGATTGGCTCAGGCCTTATTGAGTCGAGACGAGCCGACTCAATTTTTTTTTTAATAATTATATATTAAATTTATGGTGACAGGCACTTGTTAGCTACGTAAAGCAGGCTGCTACTCCAGCTTCAGGCAATCTGGCATGTGACATGGGCCATTTTGGCTTGCCGCGCAAACTGGCTCGTGTGGCTCGGAGTTGCAAGTCAAATTGGCTTGGGCATTTTATGGGTCGAGCCGCGAGTTGGATTGACATTCCTATTTGCCATTACTAACTGTATTATTTTATAATTACACTTTATCTAAAATATATTTTTGATAAATACACCATCATAATTTTACTATTGTAATCGTAATTCAATTATATAATAGAGAAAAATGGAATAAAATTATGATGCACACCGGAGCAAACAAGTAAAGAAGATTTTCGATGCCTCCCCAAACCTAAAATCGCTAACCAAGTGGTCGAAACTTGCAAAATCGTAGAGTTACAACCGTCAATGCATCCTCACCCACCTATCACCACCACGCTGGAAAACACATTTGTCAAACACCAACAGTCAAAACGTCGTCACTAGACCTTGTATCCATTGATCCACCGTAGATTAGATTCCATCGCATTTAAATAGTGTTGAGTATTAAGCTAAGACGGAAATTTTGCAGATTTTTTATTTTTTGTTTAATAAGATTTTGAGGATTTTTTTAAAATTAGCATTTGGATCAATGTTTTTATAATTTATTGAAAAGTGCTTTTTGTGCCTTTATTTGGATAATATTACTAAGCTTTTATGACATGAACGTGTTGAATTCTATTTAACTTGACTTATTTTTCGTTTATTTTAGTGATGGATCTGTCTCTGAGTAAGTTAAAAAGAAAAAATGGTGAAATTAAATGTATGAGAGCTAAATTGTAACATTTCAATAGTTGATTCGGACCACATAATGAAGATTAAAGATGTTACGGGTTCAATTGAATGCAATTAGAAGTTGAAGGGTTGAAATTCAAAGGTAACGGATTTAAAAGAAATAAGAATTGCATTCGGGAATTACAATGCAAAATTTGAAAGTTGACATAACAGAGCGACTATCTAGTTATATTTTCCGGGCGACCGCCTAGACATGAAATCCAATTACCGAGGCTAAAAGGGATGCCTGGGCATTGTGGGGGAAAAATTGGTTTTGTTTCAGAATTTTAATTCAATAAGGAAACTTTTTCTTGGGCTAATTTTGCAAGAATTCTAAGGACTTTTGGGACTTCTATGAGATTACTATAAATATCAACTCTCAACACATAATTAGTGGGAGAATCAATTGTCAAAGGTGGCAAAAAACATATCCAAATTCAAGATCAAGATTGAATTATGAACAAATTTCTTTTGCTTTTTTCTTCACATGCTAGGCTAGATTTCGTTGTGTTAGGAGAACGATGAATCTTGTAATACGAGTTTTTAATATTTAGTTTTACATATTTGACATTGAAAACGGGTTTTGGTAGGGATGTCAAAAGGGCCAAGCCGCTCATCAGCTCGACGGCTCGGCTCGTCGATGGCCTTGCAGAATCTAAAACAATATGTAAATACTGTTAACAAAGATTGGCATGGCAAAAAGGAATTGATACCACCCATCTTAACTGCTACTACAAAGCATGTGCGGCCAGACATGGACTTTTTCCAACTAGTCAAACACAATTGCAATTCGACAGTCTAGGCGCTGGTTCTACAACTTCACCCATATCCACGTTGGTGTATTCGGAGGACAATACTCGAATCGAAATGGTGAAATTTGTTGCCACCACTGAGTTGCATCTGGCTATTGCAGACAACCGAGGTACTTTGGGGGTAAGTCGAAACACTCTTCATGTCAATACAATATAATATTTCAATAATTCAAAACAACAGTTAATTATGAATTTGCAACAATATGGAGGTGTTATATCTTTAACTTCTGATATATGGCAAGGGGTTAAAAAAAAATTATATATAGTTGCAACTGCACACTATATATACTCACTTTGGTGCATGCACAAAAAATTATTGTTTTTAGAATTATTGGATTTCCTCACAATACTAATAATATATATAATGCTATTATCAGTATTGTTAGATAATATAATTGTGAGACTAAAATTTGGTCTTTTACTTTTGATAATGTTAGTGTTAATAAGGTAGTCGTCGATAAATTGTGTAGGACACTTAAACCTGATTTTGGTGGATATTTGTTTCATATTTGTTGTGTGTATGTGTTATATCTTGAATTTAATTGTGCAAGATTGCTTAAAACATATAAAGAATGAATTTCAAAAAATTAGGAATGCATTAGTATATATTACGATCTCTCCTAGTAGAAAACAAGCATTTGAAAATTTTTGTGCCGAACTAGGGGTGACGACTGCTAAAACATTTGTTAGTGACGTAGGCCATAGATGGAACTCTACTTACTTGCTATTAAAGTCATGTGAAGGTTTCGAAAATTTAATAACTGACTTTTATAAAATAGACACGTTAAAAGTGATGACAATGGTATATTAAATGAATCTGATTGGATTTTAACTTTGAAAATTAAACAATTTTTGACATCTTTTTATGAGAGCACAAAAATTTTATTCGACGTTTGTTATCCCACAAGCTGTATGGTATTTGAACGCTTTTATATAATTGCAAGAACAATTCATAAATATAAAAATGATTCTACTTTTAGTGAAATTATAATTGCTATGAAATTAAAGTTTAGAAAATATTGGGAAGAACTGCCTATATTATTTCCTTTAGCATGCGCAATGGACCCTCGATATAATATTTCGGGAACTAAATACGTAATTGATCAAATTAATAAAGTTTTAATACTTGATACACCTATCACCTATAAGAATTTAGAGCAAACATTATGTGGAATGTAGGATTTATATGCTAAAAGAATGGGTGCGAATGTCAGTCGGGTATCCTTTGCACCTACTCCT